GAAGGTCAGCATTACTATTGAAAAATTAATTAGGAAATACGATTTAACAATACATAAAGCAAACGGACCAAGGGTTCAGTGGAAGCAACGCGCACCGAAATTATTAGTAGCTAGAAAGCAGTTCATGTTATCTACCCTAGGCTAAAGTGTATGTGTGCCAATTTTGCCCAAATCGGTCGATTTTTTTGCCTTTGTGCTATGAATAAAGTTCACTCCATCTTCCGACAAGCGGAAATAGAGATGTCAATACATTCCAAGTTCTCTATAACTATGCTCATATGTACTTTTCCATTAAAGCCTTTTTACTTTTTTCCAACAAGCACTATTAAGTAAACTGTAATCACTTCCGCACGACTGCAGGATCAAAAGATGAAAGAGTGAGTTGAAATTACTAGCTGTCTTGGGTTTTGCCGAAAACCTCGTAAAAAGGATAACAGATTAGTGCGAAGAAGGCATTTTGTAGTTTCATCCACTCAAAGTTTCGCAATTATGGAAAGCAGATTCAACTATCGCTAGTGGTCTATTTCATTTTCCAGCATCCTACTCTTTTTCTTGTGTCAGGCCTAATTAGTCTAATTAAGACACATAAAATTGATTCAGATTGATGTATATCTAACAAAGAAATGTTTTTTTTACTCGAAGTGGCCATCCAAAACAAGATATATATCACAAACAAGTTGGATATAGGAAACTTAATCCTGTCTTCCATATCTGCGAAACGCTTTTCTTAAAAAAGATATGGGCACTTGTCCATGAGGCCACCTATGGAGTACATGTGCAGCAAGTACGAGTGGTAGAGTGGCGTAGGTAGTTGCCTTGGTTTGCAGATGTGCGATGCAGGTTCAATCCTGTTGTTCACGAATATGTTGCCTTTTTTGCAATCACATGTAATTGCTAGAGAATGCTTTTGAATGCAATTAACTTGTTGATTTATTGCCCAAAGTTCCAATTGGAAGCGAAACCAATGATCAGATGTTGATTTGAAATTATTTACATGATGAGCATATGTGATAGTCGTCTATAAAGTATAGAACATAAAAGGTGCTTACAGTGAAGCTGGTGAAGGTCATGAGTACTAGATAGTCAAAGTGTTTTTTCAAGATTTATCAAGCAAATATACATTACTGCAAAATAACGCAAAATATCGCCGACGATAGGTTTCGATTCTGCTTGCACATTTGTATACCAAGACACTTATCACTGCACCACTCTAGCACTCATCCTTGTTGCACAAGTACTCTATATAGTAGATGGACTCATGGAAGCAGGCTCATATCTTCTTCCAGAAAACCGTCTCGCAGATATAGAAAACAGGATTGAGTTTCCTATACGTAACTTCTTATTATGGTATACATCTTGATTGAATGGGCACTTCGAGTAAAAAGCATTCCTTTGTAAGATGGACCAAAATCATCCCAACAATTGTAAAAAGAACCTGATAAATG